TTTCCGTGCACATTGTTTTAGCCTCAATTTACGCCACCCCGCTGGCAATGTTTCCGTTCGGTCCTTGATCTTGCTTTCCTTTTTCTGATATGTTAGATGATTTTGAATGAAATTATGAAAATTTCTTCTGTTCGTGTGCTTATATATGGTTCATAGGGAAGAATTGATGGTGTTTTTTTGTTGTTTGCAAGGATGTCGTAATCTTTGAGCATTTTTATGATTAGTTAATTGTGCGTGTGAATTTGAGAAATCAGAAGTTCGACATTATGAGTGTCCAATATGCGGCGATACGACTGCAAGTACACTATCGCATCCAGTTGGTGCTTTAGTGAGTATCGTCAACAATTATGGTTAATTTTTCTCATTATTAGTCTGAAAAGTTTTCATATCGAATTCTAAAAAGTTTTCGTTTATCATTTATCGCTTAGTTGCAATGTTCAAATCACTCACTTACAATTTAATATTATAGTTTCAAAAATTATGTTTCTACTGATCGAAGCTCATAGCAGTTTCGATTAAGTCTTTCAGGTTTTTAATTGTTTCATGTGGATAGATTTCAGATTTTTATAGATCACTCTGTTTATAGAATAATTTCGCTCATCTTAATAACTATGATGCTGTATTTCTTAAACGAATTAAGCGAATCCAGTTTTTGCCAACGTGCTGCCAGTTTTTCATAGTATTACACTTTCAGTGGTTGAACATTCGTTGCCATCAGACGGCTCACCGTTGTCGTTGCTGGATTGGGACGCGGAGACGTTGAAGAACAACGGTTGTTTACTGCAACGAAACATGATGAAGCATTGCGATGTTGCGAAGAGAATGCTTCTCGAACAAGTGGGTGTATTGTTGTGTTGTTTGCGAGTAAGCATCGTTGAATCACTTACTCGCCATCAATCATTATTTTCCTTACAACTAGTTTGTTTCGATTTTCTTCGAAATAGTTGAGTAATTTCAGCGCTTCCCTGTTTTCGCCGACTTAGTACAGGTGCCAACCGGTGTGGAAGTGCGAACGTGTGGACACTTTGCACATATGAAATGTTACAAAGCATACGTTCAAACACTATGGGTAAGTTCGGAAGTTATTCTTATTGTTAGCAATAAATAATTTTCGTATCGGATTCAAGTCACCGCAAATAACGTGATCTGCATGAGAATTTCGTTGAGTTCTTGGGGAAATTCGAATTCTTAAACCAATTTAAGATTCGTCTTCAAGTGGATAAAGTTTGTAGCGCTTAAGTCAAAGACTGCCGTGTCTTATTGTGATTTGATTTGAGGAATCACCTCCATTGCGTGTCAATCCATTGGATTTGCGTATTGATGTGTCGTGTCCGATGTGTCGCGCCACTGTTCATGGTCTACTCCCGCTCACACCTGACATTGATATTGAACGACTTAGGTACATTTTTCGTAACCGGTCAATCTGCCTAGAGACATTTTGCCTAACGAAAGTTTGCCTAAAGACACATTGCCTAACGGACAGTTCGGCTATTAGGCGAAATATCCATTAAAAAACCGTAAGTTAGGCAAATTATCCGTTAGGCAATGTGTCATTAGGCAGACTGACCGGGTACCCTACGTTTTCGATTCCTTCAATCCTTCTTATTGGTTCACGCACGTATCTGTTTGAATTTATGAATGTGCAGTAAAATACGGTGGTTTGTCATTTATCGCAATATTTTTATCAAAAAATTTTTTCAGGAATAGTCTACCAGAAAAATCAGACGATGCTTATACGTACAAACGAGACATAGTGGCTGTTCAGAATTCATTGCAAAAAACCAATCCACCACTTCAGGTATCAATTACTATCATGTTTCAGCAATCCTTCCACGATTAGAATCTCGTATGGTGAATCAAAATAAGTAATCGTTGCAGTATTTTTTGTTTAGTTTTTTTTGCTCTTCAAGCATTTTCATATAAATATTTGATTGGAGGAAAGTGACGTGGAGAGTTTCATAAAGTATCGTCAAACGTTTACGAATTTCATCATGCGTTGTGAGAAGTGGACAACGTATCGCGGTGATGTCGGCGAAAGGTTACGTGCCAAAGGACAATCGTTCACACTGGGATTGGCTAAGTAATGGGGAATATTTTTGTTGAATTTTTTGAATTTTAGGGATCGTATAGAACCGTATGTTTAAATTGAGTGGTTTCTATTTATTTAAGTTGAATGAGATTGTAAATTCAAATGCGCCTGATTGTCTGAGGAGCAATCTTGATATGTATGGGATTGTTAGCATGGAATATTTGTTTTTTATAAGTGATCCAAAAATTCTTATGTTATTTCTGTTATTTGGTTTCAGAGCAAACGTTGAACGAAATGTGTTGCTGTCTGAGCTGGATATCACTGATCGCAGTAATCGCCTACTACCAACTGGTATCAGTTTGAATTCTCGTAGATTCCGTTTTGTTCAGCTTATGGGATGGACTCACAATCAGTGTAACTTGTAGAATGATTTGTGATGATTAAGTTGAGTTAGCGTTATAGATGGCTAAATTTATGGGATGATGTGAATGTGAATACAGAGCTGGATTTGATGAGTATATTATGCAATAAATACATTGTGCAATTGAACCATTCAGCGCTGTTTAACAAAAATTTTAATAGTGACATCGAAGGAAAGCTATGATATTTGATTGTAATCTATTTTGTGATTTTCTTGTAAAATTTAGTTTTCATTGTTAACTTGTTTGGTTTGTTGGTTTCAGATTAAATTTGATTTGTGTTTTGTTCTTTTGCAGAACATTTGATCTATGCGGCGAGATATGAGGGTGTTGAGCGTGATATTGTTTTCGCAAACTATCAATGGCGTCAACTAACCGATGGTTTCCTACCGAACACTGGTCATTCAGAGCCGGAAGATTCGCGTGAAAATTCGCCGAATCCCACTGATGATACCACGCAGTCAACGTTGACCAGCAGTAGTGGCACAACGGATGGTCCGAGTACTCGAAGCGATAGTACGAGCAGTATCGACAGCAGCAGTATTGACAGCAGCATCGAAGGACCGAATCCACCGCTGGCTCAAGCTGAAGTCTCTTCACCGTCGTCTGCGATTTCGTCTCCAGATTCCGTTCCCGTACCAAAGCCAGTGCCTGATGATTCTGATATATTAGCATCGGTAAGTGAGTGTATTATCTTCAGTCCTACATATTTCGTACGTACATATGTATATTTGAAACATATAGGAATGACTGTAGTTATTCACATGTGTGTATTTATTCGTGACTGGATAATCTGCCTGAAGATGTTTTGTTCAAGGACAGTTTGCCTAAAGACACATTGCCTAATGGACAGTTTGCCTAACAGACAGTTTGCCTAAGGAAAATTTGCCTAACGGACAGTTTTTTAATGGATATTTTGTCTAATAGGCAAACTTTCCTTAGGCGAGCTGTCCGTTAGGCAATGTGTCTTTAGGCAAAACGTCTCTAGGCAGATTGTCCGGGTACCTATTTATTTCATACTTGAGAAAACTCTTATTCAGTCGAGGAGTTTGCGAAAAAGTTTGAAGAAATCTATGAATTTCTTCGAATTTTCAGTTTTTTTTTGGGGGGGGGGTTGTTGATGGAATTTTAGCAGAGCAGTTGAATTTAACCTAGAGCTGGATTGATTCATACGTTGACACTAGGTGTTTTGATTGATTTAATTCAGTCAACCGAAGCAGCCAAGAAGGCGATGCGATTATCGACACGTGCAGTGGAACGTGAGACGGGCACTCCGGTGATGCTGTTCGATATGAAATCTGCGATAACACGCCTTTCATCCTATGTGATCACTAACGATTGTTTAATGAACGATGATAAAATTGGTAACTGACTTTTGATTTAATTCGATATTTGTG